TACAACTTTTAAAACTTTGAGCTCACTATCACAGTAATATCAAAAAATACAAGCACATGCCACTCACCTGAAAAGAAAAACAAAATATATTAATTATTGTACATTGTTAATATAATAATATGCATACAGTACTTAATTGCATTAAATTAAACTACAAATTTAATTTTCCCTACTGAAATTACGCCCAAAAATTTCAGTACGTAAGTTTTAATTATTTCGCTTTACGATTTTAAATTAATAAACTTAAATTGCTGACTATAATCGCGCGCCATGTAATTAAGCCGCATTATGGTTTTGTTTGCTTGACAATATGTCGACAAAGTTTATAATACATAGACGTACGGAAATACATACGCTAACAGAGAGTTAACAGGGAGACAGACAGACAGACAACTGATTTGTCAAAAGTATGAACTATAAATCGTGCAATGTCAACAGCACTGTAAATGAAACATGTAGTAGGAAATAGTGTGCACACATACTACAGTATGCACGCGCACACACACATACTACAACTAAAACCATACAAGTTTATTAATATTCAGTGTCTGAAAGTATATTTAAAGTTTATTGCGCGACAATGTCAAAAAATCTGGCAAAAACAAAATATATACAAAAGAATTAATACCAACTACAGTGACAAAGTGTGCAAAATGTATAAGCATATGTATCAACATATACAAGTATATGTTATGAGCTTTTGTTTTTTGTAACAACACAAGCAGAACATAAACACAACAGAGAAAGTTCGCCAAAAAAAGTGTTTAAGGAAGTAAATTTGCATGATACTATTTTAGTTACCACAAAGAAAAGTAAAAACAAAAAATACACTACATTCTGTGTCGAGATTTTCTTTCTATTTTTTATTCTTTTTTTTAAGCATTATAAAGTTCACACACAAACAGTTTAAAAAAAGAAAATGAAAATGCTATTATATGCAATAAGGAGCTAAGCTTTAAATTGTGTGTAAGGTACTAAGGTCAACTAAAAATATTTCTTTATCAACTACTATGCAAAACGCATGTCACAACAAAGAAACAAAAAAAAAACAAAAAAGGCGTATAAAATTGAAATATTAAATTAAAAACTCAAACAGCAAACCAAAAAGGATCAGCATAGTTAATAAAACCAAAGTAAGAAAGCATGTTCACTCACATCCCAACCGACGACTGTAAACCTTACTCAACATTAGCATAAAATGCTGCTACGCATACATACAAAGAAAGCAAGAAAGTTGTTAACAGAAGTTGAAAACATTTTGTTTTTGTTGCTTTCAACTGCTTAATTTTGTTAATGTAAACTTTGTTGCTTTGTTGCTCCTTATGTGTGTCGTGCCATTGATACAAGTAATACTTTTGCTTTATCTGTTTGTGTATTTCTGTGTTTGTGCTATAAAGGTTTCAGGGTTTCAGGGTTTAAGAGGGGCAAAAGTATTTTTTCTGTTATAAGCTAATATTATAAATATTTAAAAAGGCACATGTAAAGTGAAAAAACAAATAAAGCAGTTATTTTTTTGCTTATAACATTTCTTTCTTTGCTCAGCATGTTTATGTCTTTAGGTTACTTAATGTACAGTTGTCTGTTTGTTGTGCATAAGCATATAAATTATGTTAACTTAAATGTTTTGAATTGTGTGTCAATTGTTTTGTAAATGCCACAGGAGTGTTTTTAATTTTAATAAAAATCTGTGTACGAAAAACTTAAAAGAATGAACAATAAATTCTGATTTATGTGTATATATAATATGAGATATAGAATTAGAACTTTGTATAAAATAGAACTTGTATAAAACTTATAATAAATAAATTATTACATAAAATAATTATATTTATATATTTTTTGAACGGCTTAATCAATGAGTGATCAATAATACACAACTTCTTACATTATAATTTTGTTATTAATTACATTACATTAGTTTACATTAGTTTTATATTTTATTGCCACCGATATTACAACCATAATACCCTAAATATATCTATAGACTACAGTCGGAATATCGAATATAGTACCCTAAAGATAAATATAGACTATAGTCGAAATTTCGACTCTAATACCCTAAAGATAACAATAGACTATAATCGAAATTTCGGCTATAGTACCTTAAAGATAACTATAGACTATATTTGAAATTTCGACTAAAGTACCTTAAAGATAACTATAGACTATAGTCGAAATTTCAACTATAGTACCCTAAAGATAACTATAAACTATAATCGTAATTTCGACTATAGTACCGTAAAGATAACTATAAACTATAATCGAAATTCCGACTATAATACCTTAAAAATAACTGTAGACTATAGTCGAAATATCGATGACAATAAAATATATTTGTTAAAACTATTTTAAAAGATTGTGTCTTGTTTAACATTGACCAATTAGCCCATGTAAAAATATGTAAATAATATTGGTCATCAGAACAATAATTCTTATGCTACTCTGTTTATATATTTTATATAGAAACGTTCAGCGAATTAAAAAAATAACTTTTTAAAATTAATAAATTATATATCAGAAAGGTTTCGAACAGTAGTGCATTTTACAACAGCAAAATTTTATTTTTATTACTTGAATTTTTAGCTAATCATACTACTAAGTTTACGATTTCTAGTACTACCATATACCCATCAGTAGTGGTCTATTTCTTATATTTAATTATTTGTAAATAATTTTTTGAGACCGCAAGTACTAATAGCGAAAATACTCAAAACAGCTGTATGATCAGCCAAAAACTTAATTAATAAAAAATAATAAAATTTTATTAAACTTGCAATAAAATTTTATTGCAATTCACAACTTTTCAAAACTTCTCTTTAAACACAATAGTTTCTATAAAGTAATATAGTTACTATCGTCATAACTGACGTTAAAATTAAATTTAATATAAACTATAAATTATTATAATATTATTTAATCAATTTAATCAGTTCCTATCGTCAGTATCTACTAATTAATTGTAAACTACAGATTATTATTATATTATTTAATCAATTTAAATTATTTGATAATTTTCTAAAGTACGAGTTTATATCGTCACTATCGGCATACATACGTTGAAATCAAATTTGATATAAATATATATTATTATAATTTTATTAAATCAATTTAAATTAATTCATAATTTTCTAGAGTACGAGTTCGTAATTTATGTAAAACTTAATATTATTACACACAAATCACTATAATCAAATTGAATAACATAAAGGACAATTAAAGTTAAATTAAAGTAAATTATTATAAATTTAGCTTTACTTTGTACATAAAATAAACAAATAAACTATACAAGCAAACTGTTTAAATAAACACATAAGATAAAAATAAATTAAATAATTCAAAATAAATTTGAAAATTCTTTAGTGTAATCCTATTTACTTTATTTATTTATATTCAATACTAAATTAAATTTTCATAGCACTTTTCATCAACCTTTTTAATTGAAACAAATTTTAATCTTAACAAAGATTAAATCTGTAATATTGCAATATTTCAATAATTTTACTATCGTCTTTCAACTTCTTTCTCTTACGATACTTCGAAATCATATTGACTGCAAGTCAAGAAGAAGAAGTAGAAATCCTTTTAATTTCCGCAAGTTTGCACTTAATTAAAAAATAAATAAAATTAAAAAATAAAAGCTAAGCATTTTCCTTTTTTAAATTAATTTTACCATTGCTTTGCCATGCTAATAAACAGAAGTGTATTAAATGTCAATGAAAGCGACTCCAACCTAATTATCAAAAAGTAAATAAGTCTTTAAGAAAAACTAATAAGCAAATTATTTTATTAAAAAGTAGCTGGAGTAATGCTATAATTAGCCGTAAAAGCTTGATTATCTTTAGAATACAAACAGATCTTTTTTGCTTCCATGAAATATTTGCTAATTACATTATATTTACTTTCGTTTAAGAAATTAACTTATTTAGCGCTGATTATGCTTTTTATAAAGAAATATATATAAATAAACATATATATGATTGTAAATGAAATATATTTTCTACATTTACTTTAAATACCCACAAGGGGAGCCAAGTTAATCTTATTAAAAAAAACTTTCTTGGATTTTAAAGCATAATATTTTTCTTTGCTTTTTATAACATATTTATAATGTTTTTTGAAAAAAAAAATTTGCAGTTATAAATTTCATACTATAATAGTATAACCATGAGGAATATAAAATTATGTGATTTTCTTTTGAGGAGAAAGAAGAATTTTAATTAACATAATTACTAACTTCGATGTATAAAAGTATTAATATTTAAAAAGTAAGGTAATGGTAATAATGGTAATATATTAAAAAGTAAATAATAAATGTATAGTTCAATTATATATTCATAATTTTTATACATATATATATGGTATTTAAGTGAATTGACGCATATTAAATCAAAATTATTTGTAGAAGTAAGTTCTCTTAATCTGATAGATAGCAACAAGGTCTAAAATTTTTTATTCATATTATGTTACAGTGCTAAGTCCATATTTGTACAACATATCTCTATCAAAAAGAGAAGCAACGAAATTTGAATATATGATACAATTTTGAACTATTGCATATATAAAGTAAAGTCGTTCTTGTTTTTTTAGGATTTTAACTTTTATATCGAACGTTTGTTTTAGTATATATCTATACGTATTTTGGCAAAGTCGTTCTTACCTTCATCAGGAGGATTCCTAACATTAAAAACATCTTTGCAACTTACGAACTATTTATACTTATTACAGCTTTTATATTAAATTTAAATATAAATATAATTTAATATAAATAAAAAATATAAAATATTGTATATATAATATAAATAAAAATTAATAATAAAATATTGTATATATAGTATATAGAAATAAAATATTTATATGATATGCACAAAATATCTGAAGTGCTTAGGAGGTTAATAGTTTTCTAAGTAACATATTTGTCTTATTTTATTCCATATTTATTATCTAACACAATTTTATCGCATTATTATTAACTCTTAAACTTTAATTTTCTTTTTTTGCAGATGGACTATTCAGTAGCACCAGAACTGGAAGAGTTAACACTATGCAGGAGCTGCAAATTGCCATTTAACGATCACGATGCCGTACCGAAATTACTTACATGTCACCATTATTTTTGTCTCAAATGTGTCAATCAACTGCTACGTAAAGGTAACGATGAACTTTATTGTAGCGACTGTTATAATCGCACCGATTTACAAGGACCAGAGTCCAAACCCGAAAACCTTCGCACATATAAACCAATCTTATATTTAACACAAAATCTAAATACGCTTAATTTTAAAATCAAATATGTTAATAACATAAACAACAACAACAACAACAATACTAACGGCACTAATAACACCAACAACAATGGTGTTATTGGAGATAAGCAACGTTCCTCGTCGATAACTTCGAATGGCTCGAATGGCGGTAGTTTTGGTAGCAACAACAACATTCACATGCACGCCAACACAAATGGCAGCAATGGCAATTTGAATTGCACTGCCAACAGCAGCACCAACCTAAACGATAAAATGAAGATAGGCGAAAATTGTCTGACCCATGCAATGCCGAATACTTTATGGTGCAATGCCTGCAGTATGTTGCTATGCCGTGCCTGTGCTGCCACTGAGGAGCATCGCTCACACGCTGTCAAGAATCAGTTGGAGGCAAAGGAAGCACTGCACAACGATATCACAAACGAGTTGAAGACTATACAGAATACGTTGAATGACATGCAGCGCTTGGTATTGAAACAACGTGATTTTTTGCTCAAAATACTTGAGAGTTGCACTATGCTTAAGACACAAATCGAAAGCGAATTAATCAATCACATACCGACTTTGGAGTTTGCCGAAATGCATGAGAGTTTGAGCAAAGCACGTTTATGCTTGGAAATGTGTGACAAGCAAACACCAGCCGAGGCATTGAAACTTTTTAACACGTTGCATACTGAAAAGCAGCGTTTGACAGCAAAGTATCAAGAAATTTTCTTACAGTGTAAGCTCGATGACTTGATACGCAATTTTGGCTTTGTTTTCGACTTCGACTTGATAAAGCAAGCCCTAATACAGCTGCACAATTGCGCGGTCAATGGAGGAAATTTCGATAGTTTCGGTGTTGGGCTTAATGGTGTCAATGCGATGCCACAAAATCCAGTTTTATTACTGGCCAATTATTGCATATCTCAATTATATTCACGACACATGTTAGTCTTAAAACAACAACAACAGCAAGCGCAACAACAGCAACAACAGTTACAACAACAGCAATTACTCAATAAGGGATTACTCACTTCAATGATCTCACACAATAATCTGTCATCGAATTTAAATGGCACAATCACTAGTAGCTCATTTGCACATGCCACATATGCACAAGCATTGCAACAGAATCAACAATCAATCACAACAGTACAGCAGCAGCAGCAGCAGCAGCAGCAACAACAGCAGCAGCAACAACCATCACACAACAACGATTCCCCTGTGTCCAAAAGTTATGCTGATATCACCACAACAAATAATAAATCGAATTTACATGCTCAACAACAGCAACAGCAACATCAACAATTATTGCAACAGCAACAGCAGCAGCAGCAGCAGCAACAAACGTCCAATGGTTTTCCGGAGCTTGCACCCATCGGGACGCCAGCCTCAAACAATAATGTCACAACGGTCGCACGTAATACCACGTCTCAACTCTTCGCCGGCAACGATTTAAGTGGTTTGGGCTTAAGTTTGTTGCATTTACAACATCAAGCACAAACCCAACAGCAGCAGCAAACCAAATCTTCAATGCTGCTAAATCCGACTGTGCACGTTTATCCAATCTACTACTTCAACATCGAAATTAATGGCCAACACAACGGACGTATACTGATTGAGGTGCGCAGTGATGCGGCACCGAAAATGGCAAAGAATTTTAATGCCTTAGCAACACACGAGCTGGGCTATGGATATAAAGGTTGCCATATCTTTCAGTGTTGGGAAAACGAGAGCATTATCACAGGTGACTTTGAACTTAACAATGGACGTGGCGGCCGTTCAGTATACGATGAAGGCTACTTTATGCCTGATGATACGAAAATTTTGGCAATACGCGGTTCGGTTGGCATGCGTCGTAGTCAAAAGCGGCACGATAATTTGGGTTTAGTTGGTTCACAGTTTCGTATAATTTTAAGGGAAATGCGTGGTTTTACTGGCATATTCGCATTCGTGGTTGAGGGGTTGGAACTAGTTGAGAAAATATCTCAAACGGGTGATGCAACTGGTAAGCCACAAAGTAGTGTTGTGATTGCTAGTTGCGGCAAGTATCAGTTGGGTTAATGGTGCGTAAGGGATGTCATTAAATGAAACGAGTACATTTGATAAAGCAGAGACGGAAACGGAAATGGAACGAAAAACAAAAGCAACACATAAAAATTTATAAGTTGTAAACAATTTCACAGTTTGTAATGGACAAAAAAATTATTATTATTAAAATGATATTATTTAAAGAGCAAAATATATAGGTATTGAAAAATTTAAACATTGGTAAATTTAAATATTGGTAAATTTAAACATTGAGAAATTTCAACATTGGAAATTTAACTATTAAATGTAAAACAATTCCTTGATTTTAATTATAACTAACATAATCTGGTAATGTAACAGACGAATTGCAACTATTATAAACGAGGCTTAATGAACTTACAAAAGTTATTTATAGTGTCATACATAATTCATTGATTTGTTCCTGCAAATCAGATTACGATATATATTTAATGTTACGAGTACGTTCTCAAAATTATATCCCATTAAATTACAGTAATTAATTTTAGTTACACTGACATTCTAACAAATTTAATTAATGACTGTTTTTAATTTAACAGTCATGAATGTTTTGTTATTAATAATGTAAAAAAAAGCTCTTAAAAGAGGATTTTTTTTTAAGTAAACACCAAATTAACGTATATGAATATTATTTTTATTATTTTCATTTATTTATTTATTTGTATTTATTTGTTTTTAATTTATTTATTTATATTTATATGATTTATTTATATTTATTTTATTTATTATATTTATTATATTTATTATATTTATTTTATTTATTTTATTTATTTTATTTATTTTATTTATTTTATTTATTTTATTTATTATTTATTTTATTTTTTTTATTTATTTTATTATTTTATTTATTTATATTTGTTTCATTGATTTATTTATTTTTTTATCTTTATTTATTATTTATTTATTTTTTAATTTATTTTATTTATTTTTTATTTTATTTATTAATTTTTTTTTTTTTTATTTTTATTTTTTATTTTTATTTTTTAATTTTATAATAAATATTATTAGTTATTTTATTTTTATTTATTTAAAGTTAATTTTAATTTATTGATTTTAATTTTTATATTTATTTCAATATATTATTTCGAACAATGGATAAAATATAAACTTAATAATGAACTCCATACACTGTTTATCAAATTCATATTTGAAATTTCTCTACTCAAATCCCTACTCAATATATAAAATTGCTTAATAATATTAAGAAAATATCTTTAAACAGTATTTTAATATTTATCATTTTTATTTATAATTAAATATAAAAAACTTATTAAATAGTATAAAATTTCTAAATTTTAAATGTATACCTTTTCTGCCAGTTAAATTGGTAGTGATATATATATGTAGGCAATATATTGCAAATATTTTCTTGACGAGCAAACTCAATCATTTAGCTATATATATAATTTTATTATATTTTAATTAATACTGATCTCATGTATAATGTATATGTATAGCATATATTTAATAAGTTTATTAAATAACTGGGCTGGAACCGAAATGTTACCAAATTTTCAATTTATTATATATAAAATACATAATTAATTTTAGTATTGGAAATATTATATTAAGTACTATATTAGTTCGTTTAAGTTTTTTTTATTAATGATCAAAAATTATAAAAAAGAGCAGACAGAACTAATAAAAAAAAATTAATATTAATTGTTATATATTTATTAGACAAAAAGGACATAAATTAAGCCAAAGAGTTGGGGAAACAAGATAATGAAATAGACAAATCATCAGGAACTAGAAAGAGACAGTTTAACTGACGTAACAAGAAAAAGGAAGGATATAAAAACAATACAAATATGCACAGATTACCAGTAGTAAAAGAGTGGATGAAAAGCAAATAATAACGACACAAAACCACTGTTTAATTATTTATTTACACTTATTATGCTATAGTATTAAACATATATATGTTTGAATTTTTATATATTTCAGAATTGTTCAGTCGAAAGAACGACATTTCAAAAAAAAAAACACAAAACCTGGAAAGCATAGAAAGAGATTATACAGAGACAGTTATAAATGAATAAAAAAGGAGGAAAACAAATTAGCGACAATAGTTAAAAAAAGAAAACAAAGTGAACAGAGCAAGTGACAAAGAGAATGAAAGAAAAGAATTAGATATGTAGCAGAAAGAAAATGTTACAAAGAAATAATAGAATCAAATATACCAGTATCGAAAAGAATATCCTGAAAAACCCGCGATAGAGAACAGAGTAAGAATTTGTGTAGTTAGAAAGAACAGAGTGAAATAAGCTAAATTATAAGAAACTGAAGTAAAAGAATTACAAGAAAGACATTGATTTCCTGGATTATACATTCTTTATTAGAATGGAAAAATGGAATTATATAATACTTGGGCACTATTGAAGATATCCCACTTGCAAAACAAGACAAAGGGAAAAAGAACAGAGAATATTCTTTTGCTTATAACGATTTAATCACAATACTAATTCTAAAAATCTATAGCATGTTCTGATGATATTTTTTTATATTAGTTTTCTTTTTTTTACTGCCTACGAGTATAAACGGTTATATTCAGCTTGTTTAAAATATCATAAATTTTTATATAACTTATTTTAGATATTTTATTTAATTATTTTTATGAAATTTGTATTATTTTAATATTTCTAACATTTGCAATTATTTATTTTTTATATGCTAAATTATTTGTACAAATAAAAAAAGATAAACTGAGAACAGATAACAAAGGAAAAGCAGATAACTTATTTTTAGAAATAAAATGGGATCAATCTCAATACACACTAAAATTACAAATGGTAACTAAAGTACGAATATGTTGGCTTCAGGTTTAGAAGTTAAGAAAGAAATATATAAATTTTATTATAAAGACAAAAAATTAAAGATAGATTGAAAAACTATAAGGAAATTGTTTACATGCAAAAAAAAAAATGTAAAAAGTGTTACAACTTCACAAATTAGTTTAGATAGTTTTTTTTTTCAAATGTGTTTTTCAATACAAATAATTCCATTTTGAAAAACTAAATTAAATTAAATCAAAATAACAAAGAAAATAGCAAAAAAATATATAAAATTATTTTAACAAATTATGTTATGTTTAAACATATATATTTCGATTTTATTAAGTGATAATTAAAAAATAAAAAATACAGACATTTTTAAAATAATTTTTTCATGTTCGTTTTTGCATAAAAAATTAAAAATACAAAAAATTAATAACTACAAAAAAGTTTAAAATCTAGCAAAAAAAAAAATTAATTTAAAATTCATATTTTTTTTAACTAAGCAAATAAAACTCTTGAAACCACAGTTCAAAAAAAAAATTTTTTTTTTGTTAATAATAAATTAGTTTCTTATATATTATACTTCTTTTAGAGAAATATAATTAAGCAATAAATTAAAAATAATCAGAAATACTAATAAAAATATATTGATGTTTGCTTTCTTATACATTTTTGTTGCAAGCAGAGATTTAACATTTTTCCCATACAAAAATTTAAAAGAAAATCGTTTAACAATTAACTAATATAATAATAATAATTAAATCAAAATTAAAAACAAAATAAAAAAATATTTCAACTGTCTAAAAAAACCTTTGATTAATAATTTTTTTCAAACAATAACAATTTTTTCTCAAAAAAAAAAAAATTATAAATACAATGAACACAACAAAACCGTCAGCCAAAATGAAATTTTAAATGTTAAACAAAAAATAAAATTAGTATAAAAATTTTTTATTTATTAGAAAAAATTATGATCAATTTCACTAGCATATGTAAAATCAAGAAAAAAATATCTAAGTCTTCAAAATAACAAATAACATCTAAAATAAAATTTAAATATATATGTACAAAAATTGTATGACATATATAATAATAAGGAATATTTAAAAAATAATAATTTTATTAAAAAACAAATGAAGTGAAAATATCTAGGGAATTTCTACTCATGGAGTCGTAAACAACATTTTAATACCAACGTAAGTGAAATAAATCTCACACTCAAATACTTACATACATTTTACAAGTATTTTAGAAGATATTTTTAATATTAAAAAATAAACGTTTATAAAAATACAAATTAACTTTATACATATTAAGAAAAAAAAAATTATTTTATTCGTTGAATATATAATCTCGATGTGTAGTTTTTAAAATATATATAAATTTATTAAAACGTGCGTAAATTAAATTATATATATACATATATATGTATATATATAAAATTATTTATATGTATGCATATATATAAAAAAAAATTTATATATAATAAAAGTAGTTTTATATGTATTAAAAAAATATTTATATGTATTAAAGAAGTATATATACATATAAACATACCATATGTTAAAAATTATAAATTAAATATTATATATAATAAATGTGTGTTAAAATCTGTGTCCAAATGAATAACTTTATTATATGATATAAAAAAATAAAACAGTATTACATAATTTATTATTAAATATATACAGTACGAACCTGACAAGTCAAATTGAATTTAATATATAGAAAAATGTTCTAAGAATTGTAATTGATATATGCGCTACACGTGTACCTGTCTGCAGTTAAAAAAAACTCAAAAACAATCTTTCAAGATAAAAATAAGATGCTACTATATACAACACAAATTAATTGTTTTAAATTTAAACATTTGCAAATTTAATTTGATATAAATTAAAGAATTTAAAAAAAAAATAGAGAAGATTTATTTTATTGAAATCTTAATCGTTTTTTAAATATTTAATTGATATATATATATAACAGTATATAGATATCTACATAATTATTTTGTTTTGGTTCTTCTTTTTTTTATACAGATCTATACAGCTTCTAACTAATTTAGTTTTTATTTTTAAGTTGTTATACACTTCTAATAACATTATATTTTGGAATATATATACAAACAAAAGTTCGAGAGTCCTATATAAAAATTTTACATTTTTTTTTGATTCTTTTTAATTTTGATTTTCTTATTATTCATATTTTTTATTTACTATTATTTATATTGTTTTTTTTTCATAATATTTGATAATATAATAATATTCTTTTTGCATTATATCATTATAACAAGTATGTTGCGCATTAGTTTTCATTGTTTTCTCTACTATATTAATTATTTATTAT